CCCCCCCAGAGCTGGGGGCGACAAAACAGATCTCTTGCGGGCAGTATATGGAGAGTGCCAACAACTTTGCCTAACCTAGAGCTTCAGGTCCCAGTCCTGCCCTCTGCGTGTTCCAGCCCTGCGTGTCCAGAGGAGAGGAGACGAGACTCAGGGCTTTGTGTGAGAAGAGATAATCCTGAAGAGTGCCCTTGGCTTTCATCTGCAAAGAAAGCCCATCTGATAGTAACGGACTCATCTGCGAGGGGACCCGGCACACTAATCGTTTCCATTTACTGAGTGCTTCCTCTGCCAGATGCTGCATTTTACAGACGCGATCCAGTCATGTTATGAGTTGGGCACGATTAGCCCCATTTTACAGATGAGGAAACTAAGACTTCAGGAGTTCAGGTTAAATTGATTCCAAACTCTATGCATTTAACTTCTGCATGGCTTCCCCATGTGAATGTGGCCAGCTGGATATACTGCCGATGTTGTGGAGAGAATACGTAATTCTTTTGATAAATTTAAAGTATACAGTGGAGCTGTTTGCACTGTCCCTCTGTAAGTTTCTTGTCTTTAGAAGTTGTTCTTGTTTCCCATCAGCCCCCAGTACAAATATTCACCCTGGACACATGAAATTCAGTATATTTCTGTGCTAGAGCTGACATCACAGAAGTGGAGACTTCATCCTTTCACTAATTTGTGTATTGGGCTCCTCTGGTTTGTACAGTTACTCCTAGGCCAAGTAATAGAATAGCAACTGAAGAAGTGGAGGGCACTGGGTCTGTCCTCAAGGATCCAGTTGGAAACTCAAAGCCGGTGCAGATCCTTCCATGGACTGTTCCTTAGAGAAAAACATCTTAAAGGTGGCCCCTGACCCATTTCTTGAAGGTTATGAGGAGCCACAGTGGTGGAGGGTAGCTTCCTGATGCAGGAGACCTGGGCTGGTAGAGTGCTGGTTGATCCCGGGAAGAGGTTGCATTTCAGTTGGCCCATGTCTTCTCTCTGTGCCACTAGGACCTTCTGGCTCCCAGTCCTGAGTGTTTTTTTTTTCACCATGGGAGTGGGGATGGGGGAGGCTTTGCTGAACCCTGCCGTGGTGGTTCTGTTTCTAAAGAGCCTGATGCAAAAAATGGCGTGTCTTAATCCTGTGTGGGATTTCCTGGGTTAGGTAGCAGTCCCTTTCGAGGCTGGCTGAAAGTGATCTCCTTCAGCAGGCTTCTCTTTCCTTGTTAACTTTTGTTAAATGGAGTCCACCTTTCAGTGGGTCCCCTTATTTCAGTCTTCATTTAAATTTCTGTGTTGTACTGATTTCTTGTCTCTTTCTGTTTCATTCAGAATCTTGAATGTGCCTTTTTTTGTTTGTTTAAACATTTATAAGTTTGGTCTTGACTGTTCACTGTTGTGGAAACAACTTGTAGTAACTTTGGACTTGCTTTTGATTGTATTTTTTAGACGATCCTACATCCACAATATAAAAAGAAAGAATTGTGCTCCATTTCTTCATGGATAAGTCTTTCTTAAAAATAATAGCTATTATGAACTTGATAACTTTGCAGAGATTTTGGAAATTACTAGAAGGTACAGAAAACAGATACCCATAATCTCACAACCCATAGATAGCACTATAAATAGTTTTTTCTTTGTTAACATTAAAAAAGTGAACATTGAATTATATGCACGATTGCATTTGTTACTTTTTTCACTTGATATTTAACTTAAGCATTTTCCTATTCATTAAATGTTGTTCCACATTTGTGGAAAACACAGTGTTCCATCCTAATAATTTCCTTAATTATTCTTTTATTATTTCCAGCTTTTTTGGCTGTTAAAATAATGCTATGATGAATAACTATGTAGATAATAGATAAGGCTTTGTATTTCTGTGTGTGTGTGTGTTTAGCATACATTTTTAAAAGGGGAATTAGAATGCAGTTTAAATCTTAAGACCCACCAGGCTGAATCTTTGCATATTCAGTGCTCTGGGTGCCTACTAGGTGCTCTGTAAGTGGTTGTTGAATGAATTGACTTTTTCTGTAAAGCTGTAGTGCTGAAATCTTAGCAATTTATGCAGTGGCCTGTTTCACTTCATCAGCAGCAGCATTGGATATTATTTTTAAAACTCTTGGGTGCCTGGGTGGCTCAGTTGGTTAGGCGACTGCCTTCGGCTCAGGTCATGATCCTGGAGTCCCGGGATCGAGTCCCGCGTCGGGCTCCCTGCTCAGCAGGGAGTCTGCTTCTCCCTCTCCCGCTCCCCCCTCTTGTGCTCTTTCTCTCTCTCACTCTCTCTCTCAAATAAAT